GGCATACAATGGACTCCGAAATAGGTGGGTTCCTCTAAGTCTTCCTACCAACGTGACCAAGTTGCGAAAGCAACGTCAAACAACTTTTACCATTTTATACATTTGCAAATTATGCTAAAGGGATCCAAATGATGGAGGTCTCTATAAAAGTGGACTAAAGTCAAGAGGCAAGTCTTGTCTATTTAAAAAGTGGTAGCTTGGTGCTGAGAATGGCAAGACTGCCTGAGAATGCTGACTAAGATGTCGGCGAAACGTCTGGTAATGCACTAAGTCCACGGTCCAACGCTGGGGAGTATGATAATTAATGGCGCGGAAGACTTCGGATAAAGTGCCCACTTCTATACATCGAAAGAAAACAGCGACCATTCCAAAGAAAACATAATCTTGGTTTTCATATTCTCGAAATTTCCCTCAACTTCATCGCTCATTCATTTTCGTTTTCCGCGCGCCCTTTTTTCACAAATTCCAGAAACGAGTTATAACATTCGGTCTACTAACAAGGGCATACTTATTCTGGGGACTTTCATATGCTGTAAATGTGCCAAATAACAGAACTGGCAGGTCAATCTCTGCGATCGCGCAATTCACGAAGCATCTTATTTCGTTTTCAGAGAAAACGTGCTAAGGTCTCGTGTATTGGGCAACTCGATGAGCCTCGTCAGAGTTACTTGTCTCTTTCTTGCAAAATCTTCCAGCCAACTCTGAGTATAGCATACGCATACAATTATTTAATTTGGTACTTTTAATATAAATAGAGTACTTTTCTGCATGATGCAATTGTGGTAATGCGTGTGCAGCAGAGCATTCTATGCTTATCTATGAATTTTCAGTACTTTTTATATTAACAATATCCATAGTATGCAAATCAAAACCCGTCAGTATTTTGGCCTGAAAGGCGTTAGTTCAGCACAGAACCTGAACATTAGACGACTGTAGCGAAGCAGGAGCCAACCGTCGTCTTCTGGCAAGGTGGACATACTCACCATTTTCATAGAGCCCTTGTACTTCGGATATGAACCACATAATTTCCTGATTAACAAGTTCCGAGCACAGAAGGGACTCGCGACAGACTTGTTTAATGTTAGAGTAGAGTTTCGAGACTACCAGTAAATCAGTAATATAAGATGTATTCACCCTATTTTGTAGAAGAAGGATTTTCCCACAATGATATGAGTAGAGTTGACCTTCCCATTGCATTTCACAGAGCCTTGCTTTCCCAAAAGTTGTTGTCAACACCCCCAGCGGGAGTCGAACCGTGACAGTAGAAAATGGGAGCTTGACACATTGTCACGAGTGTCATTTGGTCGCAGGGCACATGTGAATTTCGAGGAAGGTCAGGCCTTTTGCCATATCATATTCTTTGGTGGGATTGTCGATGAAACAAACGTATATTTGCTATAGCAATCGAATACATTACTTATTTTTCGTATTTGAGTAGAGTTTCAAGACTGCCAGCAAATCAGTAATATGAGATGTTCGACTCCCGCCTGGGGTGTTGATAGGACCGATGCAAGGTCGAAACCGCAGTCCACTTCAGCCGAGATGAGAACAACTTTTGTGAAAGTAAGACTATGTGAAATTGAATGGAAACGTCAGCTATACTCATATCATTGTGGGAAAATTCTGCTACCAGTACTTCGTCACCTTAAACGAAATTGGGTGAATACATGTCATATTACTGATTTGCTGGTAGTCTCAAAACTTCAATTATATGATTTAAGGAAAAAACTCAAATATCACTCCCCAGATCCTTTTATGGAGCCTAGGATAAATGCATTATTAAACTCATATTGAGTGAGTGTCATCCGAGGGAGTTGGCCCAGCTTTCATCGAATTTTTAATGCTTAATTGCTCAGTTTAGCATCCTTCTCCTGCACTACGAGAGTGGTTCAATTGACTGAACTGACTATGATGGAGATAGGTAAAATACCAATTATAAGGTGTGAATTATCTCTCATGGGCGATATATTGAAGAATTCAATATCACAGACTTGTGTGATATGATTTCCTACTTCGATGAAAAAATTGGTCCGAAGGAATTTGTTAAATGGTCTCACCGGAAAGCGAAGAGGATTGTCGCAAAGAGAAGACTGTTGGATTTTGTGGATAAATCCTCCACATGTTCATTGGGGTCACGGCATGATGGGACTAAGACTACTTTGCATAGCCCAACATTTTTCACATCGCAACAATCGTCTTTCGGTTTTCTTTAAAATGGACCGTCATGTCACAAAAAACCACTACTGAAGCTACACAGAGTTACGATGTGCCATACGAAATTATGTAAGTGGGTATATAGACTATCATCAAATTTTGAATAAGAAGGTATCTCTAACCACACAAATGGATATAGAAATGGTAGCCGAATTTTCCAAAAACGAATCACATGGAGCTTATGATGCGATTGAACTTTACCCTGTCCTGTTGTCTCCTTCTGATTGTAGATCAGCTGACCCTGAACAGGATTCGAGCCCGGTTCGTCCGCGAAAAGTAACATCGCGTTACCGTTCCTCAAAGGACAGAAGCGACTTTGGAAGCAATCCAGATCTACTCGAATTCCCACTTTTATTGTAGAAGACATGTAATGAAGAGGCTTTTAATTACTTACTCGAATGGCAGATCCACATTTCCAATATAAATGTGATTTAGGAGAGGTTTGACTTAGCTTGAAGTTTACATCTGCTTTGTGAACTTTTGACTCCCGTGGTTGTTTGGCGGAGTGAAAACGTGCTGAGGCACATTTAATCACAATTCCTGCATTAGCTTAAGATATCTAATTTGCTGAGGTACTTTCATTTCGTAGGAGAGTGCAAGATGAAGAGATTCGTTGGTTGCACTGACTTGAAGATGACGGTTGATTTCCGTTTTTCTGCAGCCGTTTGGCTTTAATTCTACCTTCCGGTTTACGCAATCCATGAGATGTGATCTCTAGATTTGTTGCAAAACGGACTGAAATTTCTAGAAGTGGGTTGACCTCGTTGTTGCAACTTGGTCTTGTTGTCAAGGCGACTTAGTACAACGCACCTAGTCCGAAGTCGTCTGCCATAGTAGTTGTCATGATTCCCAGCTTCAGACAGTCGACTTGGTACATTCTCAGACGTTTAGCCGGCAGCGTAGTCAGCATAATCAGTGAGTCCTACGAACTCGTCAAATAGACTTGTAGACTAAATACCTCGACATACGTTCTGCCAGAGGTCACGTCATCTTGGTCTTCATATCTTCAAATGGACTGTAATTTCGTTATCCTCAAAGTTTGAACAAAATTTTTGCAAATTCATTATGTTAAGTCAAGAAGAACATCGAGTTCTGTCCTATATGCTTTGTATACTTTGTTAAAAACGAAAATATAATGATATAGATTGGAAGAGAATGAAATGAGCTAATTATCTTAAATATTAATCAAGGTACTTATGCTCGACTGTATGTGTATGTGTGTGTGCATGTGTGTGTGTGTGTGTAGGTACGTATTTGCTAATTTCTGTGCGCAATGTTGATCATAACTCATAATAATCATGAAAAACCTAGCGCCAGGCCCATGCCAGACCCAAGGAAAATCGTGACCGAGATTGCCTAAAGCTGTAAGTAAGTCTGGTTGATATCAAAACATGTAAGACTTTAGGCGTGTGTGTCAGGTTACGAAGCCACCAGCAATAACATGTTAGTCTGGGCTCATTAGGATTTTTAAAGACCCAAGGAAAACCCAAACTGGGATTGCGTAATCTCGTATAACTGTTTTATTTGATGAGCCGAATAGACTCATTGCACGAGGATGGGTGTAGTTGTAACCATCACTGAGCTAAAAAGATGAGTCGTCGTTTTTTTTATTGGCGGCTCAACAGCCTCTCCCTCTCCTCTTCAGTTTACCAATTAAGCATATTGTAGTTTTTACTCATCTTTCTGTCACCATTTCATACATTCAACGTATTCCCTAATTTATTAATTTTTATAGCGTCTTTTATCTTCATTTTAGGCTCAGATTTACCATAACCAGCCATTCTTGGCCTCTACAAGATGATTAACTTTTTCTTTGCCGTGTCATGATTCTGGCTCTAAAATTCAGTATATTTCATTATTTGTATTGGTTTGATCGCATTGTTGTCAAGGTTACAGGGACACTATGAATAACGTTTCATGCATAAACTGCGTCCTCAGCCCATGCTGTCGCCTACTCTTAAGGCAGTACACATTCTCAAACCTTCCTCCGGCATGTCAACCGAATTCAGCAGAACTAATCATAATGACAAGTTTTCGAGGATGTTTCCTCTGTCACTGGGACGAGTTCGGGCTGCCAATGGAAGAGGTCGACGGAACGCCAGTGGCAAAGCCATGATAGGGCTGCAAATGGTACAGACTGGGTGGGGTAGAGCTTTTGAAGTCTGCCTGAAAATACGACTAAGCCGCCCAAACGAGCTTCAACCAAGTCAACTAAAATTACCGCATCAATGTCATTATATGAGCTTTCACAAAGTGTTGGAAAAAAAGGCACTCTTGTTATTCGGTCTGAGTACAATATTTTGACATAACTTTCCATTTAGAAGGAGAATTTGGTTGGAAGAATTTGTGAAATGGTCACATCTGAAATGGAACGCTCCTGCGATTCCAAAGAACTGGGGTCCAATCCTCCTTCGGATTTCCCGTGAGACCATTTGACGAATTCCCTCAAAGCAAATTTCTCCTTCCAAATGGAGATTAATGTCACAATCAATCGCTAAGGCCTCCTTTGAACCCCGGTTTTTCCTCATTTCCTCGAGTTAAATATTTTATGAGATGTGGTTAATTAAAGGTTTCTACAACACCCACAGCTTAACGACTAATGTCAACAATACTTCTGCATTTGGGCGTTTGACATAAGCAATTTTATGAGGATTAATCAGAAAGGAAAATAGCGGAAAACAGCCTACAATGACACTTTCGAGTAAAATACCAAATCGTCCGTTGCCCTTCAGTGCCGGCTGTCAGACAAACCATGACAATCGGCCAACTTTCTCCTGAGCAAAGCCGACGGTGCCTACACGGAAGAGCCATGATGCCACATTTTCTTGCATATAATTTCTTGGATTTGTCAACAACAAAGAACACAGTGCCCAGTGCTGAATACGAATACAGTCTGGACATGTGTACAAATATGTGGGCACAGAGATTGCACACACACACACACATACACACACACACACACGCACACACGTTTGTGTGTGCTGCTGAGAGATGGGAAATAACTGTGGAGGTCGCTTTAGCTCCGTTTCAAGACACCAACCGTTTGCTTATTTCTGCAAGAATGCTTGTGATTGAGCATGTAGAGGAGATAAACACATGATCTTTCATGCATCTTTATATATTTATGCATATACATGTTAATAGGGATGCGTATATAAATGGACCTATCTACCCCACGAACATCTTCCACCCTGCCTTTGTGGAGAGGGTGAGTAGACTTGGAGCATAAGTTATGTGATATGATCAGGTCGTGGGCAGCTGAATGCAGCTGTTGCCCTTTAAGAAGTAGCAATTTGTCCGAAAAGGCACCCATCTCTTCCCAGACCAAGTTTATTTGTTCGCCTCCCGGCCTTCTCGACGCTGAAGAACTATGTTATTTGTCTCCATCGCTTTTTTTGTCCCACTGGTAGCTGGGGGCATTGGAAAAGAGGATAAAAAATGAAATAGCTGAATTGCAGGATTAAAGGCCAAAGCATGTTTGTGAGCTCTTTTTTGCAGGTCGAAAAACATTAGGCCAGCAACTTGAGTAAGCTTGGAAAAGAACTAATTGGCATCTAAAAATTGAACATTTGGACCAAAACATGGACACAGATCAGAGAATATTCGGATACTGTTATTGTAGTTTATGCTAATCTAGACATAAAGAAAAACCATCAAAAAGTGGGTACAATTCTCAATACTTTCGACCGCCGAGTTTATTGGATTTCAGCCAATATTTTATCAACAAATTTTTCCTATTTAAGTAGGTTTTCAATACTACCAGTGAATCATATTTGTGAACTTTATTCTCCCTATTCCGTTCAAGACAATCAAGTACTGGCAAGTGAATTCTCCATGGGATTTCATATAGCCTTGCTTCGCAAAGTGTATTCTAATTCCGTGTGACTGGGCCTCATCTGTACCCGCAGCGGGACTCGAACCCAGGCAGTAATAATGCAGCATAACTTCCCGACATGTTAATCACTACTGCTTGAAATTCATATCTACCCCATATTTCTTAACTTAATATTTACTTGTATTTATTTTATTTATTTATTTGTATACTTCACCTTTAGACATTAGCATCCTGATCCTCTCGGCTTTGTTCTTAAATTCCATCAAACTCCTATTCTATACAATTTAAACTACTTTCTTGTACTCTGACTGTTGATGAGTATGTGAGTATATTCCAAACAAGGTGGTACCAAGTAATAGCGTTACTTATGAATACAATTTATCAGAAAAAGGCTTAAATAAGTGCACCAAAATGAGGAAGTAAATGTGTTGGTTGTCAGGGCATAAGTCTATCTATTCATCCATCCCTCTATTCACTCGGACACCCAATCAAATGCCAATCGGAGGATATTAAAATTATTTCATCCGTTCAGGCAAGGGAATAATGGCTTAATTAAAAAAGTATTTGTTCTCTATATGAAGCAGAAATTACAGCGTAAACAGTAATTAAATGAAAGAGAATCAGCGTAAAAGTGTACAGCACTCTTCACGTGGAGAAGAGATTTTTAAAACTGCATAATAACTCATTAAGTGAGAGAATCTGCTTTTGTATTTGCGTGACTTGGGCATCTACGGAAAAGAGATGAAAAGGGGGCAAAACGAAAACAAAGTAGCCTGGCAGGAAATGAAATGGTAGAAATGGCAAGGAGAAGAAGGAGAAGACCACTCATTCTCTGCAAAACAAGCAGACTTTCTAATGCAAAGCTGACCAAAGCTTCATTTGTGGACTAGTTGCTAAGGCTCATCCTGGTTGCCATGTGATTGAAACAGAGGCCTATTTCATATGATGCTGCAATGACCTAAGAATTTGGCTAGTTTCCTACATCAAAGTGGCGAAGTAGAATAGTCTTATTAGCCTTAGAGCAAGCATAGAAGAGATATTCTCATGGTTGCATGTTCCCTGCAAACTGCTGGTCATTTGGAAAAAGAGGTCGCCTTCCTGGCAAATCGCGAGTAGTATCGGGTGGGAATACGCCTTGTGTTGCTTCGAGTTGAGGAGGGCCGGTGTCAACTTTCACCTGTCCGTGTGCGCCTGCAGGCAGGGAGGAATTGACGAGAGGAAGTTGCCCGCTTGAGGGTGAAAAGAAATGCCGAAAGCGTGTCCCACAAAGACTCAAAAGACTGAAAGTCTGACAGAATGACAGACGGACTGATAGATAGATTGACTAGTGGATGGATTCTCTGATTGATTGAATGGCTAATTGAAGCAATGATTTACTCAATGACTGAGTGACTCATTAACTGATTGAATGAAAGGATGACTGACTGATTGTCTGATTGAATAATGCATTGCTTGAAGGATTGATTTACGATTGACGGATTTAATGATTTACATAATGTCTAATTGACTGATTGAGTACTTGTCT